TGCTAAAACAGATTGGCTTCATCAGCATTGTTTATAACAGTTTACGAAGTGTTAAGATCTGTGCTAAGATCTAAGATATTAGTTCCATTTTTAAAAAATCCACAAAATTCTTCTGTCTTCATGATTTGTTTTTCACTGTCTCTGTAAAGCCATTGAATGCCATGACTAAGTGGGCGAAATGCCAAAGCCATCTTCACAAAAAATACATAGTTCCATCAACTGTATTTGCTCACAAACACCTTTTGTCTTTTTGTAAGAGTATTAAGGCAGTGATAGGATGAACTTGTTCTTTTGTCTTAGAATCACTCATCTAGAGCACTATTTAGGTGCTCTCATTACACAGGTAATGGTGCTGTTGCTGCATAGCTTTAGATGACTAAGCTGGAAAGAATGTCAATTGCTGTTCTTTCTGCATACTGCTATCAGAGAGGATGGACAGACCAGTGGTCTCCCAACATTGCCCAGGATCGTTATTTTAAGCACATAGAGATCTACACTCTCTTTGAAGGTTCCTGCCCCCTAACATTCTTTTATCTTCTGTCTTATACTCTTCCCTAGAAGTGGATTGAAATTCATAAGATAACTTCTATAGCACTATAACTTAGTAATGTGGCTTAGCTTGGGAACTAAATGAAGAAAATATAACTTTATTCTGGTACATAAAGGACTTGAAAAGACATTGGGCTATTGCATAGATCAGTCAGTCAACAAGCATTTTTTAAGCAACTGCAATGTATCAGGAACTGTGCTAAGCACTAAAGATACAAAGAAGGGTAAAAGACAGTTCTTAATCTCACAGAGCTCAGTGTAATAGAGGAGATAACATGCAAACAATTATGTATAAACAGGACATACTGGCGACAAATTGCAGATAATCAGCAGAGGGAAAGCACTAGCTTTAAGGGGGAATCAGAAAAGGTTTCTTGTAAAAGGTATTTTAGCTGAAACTTGAAGAAAGCCAGGAGACATCTGAGGACAAAGAACACTCCATCTGAAAATGTGTGGAGTTGAGAGATGGATATGTATAGTGATGAACAGCAAGGAGGCAACTGTCACTGGATCACAAAGTATATGGGAGACAGGGGTGTGTAAGAAGACTGGAAAGGTAGGAAGAGGCCAGGTTATAGAGGGCCTTAAAAGCCAAACAGGATTTTCTTTTTTAAACATATGATACTGGAGGCAATAGGGAGCCACTGGAGTTGATGGAATAAGGGGGCAATATAGTCAGATTATATATCAGAGTGAGAAGCTGAGGATGACACCTAGGTTGTGGTAACTTGGTTATGATAACTGAGATAACTGGAGATGGTAGTACCCTCAAAAGTAATAAGGAAGTTTAGGAAGAGAGGATGGTTTGGGGGGGAAATGAGTTCAGTTTTGGATGTGGTTAAGTTTAAGACATCCATGACATCCATATTGTTTGAAATGTGCCACAGGTAGTCAGAGAGGCAAGAATGAAGTCTGAGACAAATAAATCTGAAAATCATCTGCATAGAGATAATAGCTGAAATCGTGGGAGCTGATGAGAATACTGGTGATGAAATAGTATAAAAGAAGAAAATAGGGCCCAGGACAGAGCCCTGTTGTTGTCCCACAATAAGCAAGCATGACTTGGACAAGGTAGACAGAGGAGTGGCCAGACAGAACCAGGAGAGAACAGAATCATGAAAACTTAAGAGAAGAGAGTATCAAGAAGAGGGTTACTGACAGCATCAAAGACTGCAGAGAACAAGAGGGATGAGAATTACGAATTTCTAGTATTGGCAATTAGGAAATTTTTGTTAATTTTGGAGAGAGAAGTTTCAGTTGAATGATAAGGTTATTAAGTCAGACTGAAAAGTTAAGAAAATAAAGGAAGCAGAGGTATTGAGTGTAAATAGCCTTCTCATAGAATTTGGCTACAAAAGGGAGAACAGATATAAAATGACAGCTAGTAGGGATGGATGGATCAAGTAAGAATTTCTGGGGATGGGAGAAACATGAGCGTATTTGTAGGCAAGAGGGAAGCCATCAGTTGACAGGAAAATTCAAGAGAAAAGAAGGGAAAGAAAGACCACCTCTTTATGTCAGATGGGGTGAAGGAGAAAGTAGAAGACATCTTAGTGATGTAGAATAAGGAGGTGAGAAGAGGTTGCTCCAGGTGATTGGCCTCAAATTTTTTCCAAATACGAGGCAAGGGTTTTCAGCTGAGAGGGTGTGTGGGAAGAATGGGAGATAATTTCAGGAATAGGTAGGAACAGAGATACCATGAGAGATTTGGAGAGAAAAGCCATTGTGGTGAATGGGATAGTGAGGCAATTAGGGCAGTGAAAAAGGATTGCTTTGTCATAATCAGGGCCCAGTTGAGACTGTGTAACATAAATATGCAATGGACCTAGTCAGCATGTTTTGTGGTGAGATGGCTGAATATCTCCCTATCCCTGTATCCTTCCAGATGTCCCATGCCTTCAAAGAATGAAACAGTTAATTAGCTATTGCCATTCCCCCTACCCCTTTACTGACTCCTCTCCTTCCCCCAGCTCAGATTGGAAAGCAAGTGCTTTTCCTTGAAGAGGTAGAGGGAGTAAAGGAACATTCTGGCTTGCCAACAAAATTCTTTAACACATTACTAAAGAGATGGTTAGTGAACATCTAGAAAAAAAAAAGCAGTGATCATAAAAAGCCAGCATAGCCTGATCAAAGACAGATCATACTAGACTAACCTTGGTAGGTGAAGGGTATAGTCTACCATTATTTTAGTAAGGGATTTGAAAAGGTTACCTATGTTATTCATGCAGAATAGAGAGGGGACAGATCTTTTTTCTATAGACAAGTCATTAACAGCTTATTGTCAACCTGAAATGTTTCCAGTGGAGAATACCTCAGAGAATTGTGCTTGGCCCTGTGTTAAATCTTATCATTTACTTGGGTGAAAAAGGCCTACATGGCATGCATATCAAATTTTTGGATGCCACAAAGCTAGAAGGGAAAGCCAGTGTGCAAAAAAAGATCATGACAGGCTAGAACACTAAGCCAAATCCAGTAAGATTAAATTATCAAAGTCTTATATTGGGTTAAGAAAATTAACCTCACAAGTACAAGACGCAGTAGGATAGAGTATTGTTGAACAACAGACTGTCTTGGAAAAGATCTGGGATTTTTGTGGAACTTTCAATCTGAGTATGAATGAATGAGTGCTGGGCTTAAAGTCAGGAAGAACTGAGTTTAAATCCAGATACTTCTTGGCTGTGTGACCTTGGGCACAACACTTAATCTCTATTTGCCCCTGGATAAGGAAATGGCAAACCACTCCATTATCTTTGCCAAGAAAACCCCATGGACAGAGGTCCACAGGGTCATGAAGAATTGGACTGAACCACAGTGACATGGTGACCTGACAGCAGAAAAAAGCTGACAGCATCTTGGGTTGCATTATGTGGTACAGTTTCCAATAATAAGATGATCCTGATGCTGTACTGTGCCTTGGCCAGGCCACTTCTCTTTCCTTCAGTTCTGGGCACCATATTCTTGGATAAGTTGGAGGGTATTCAGAAAAGGCAACCAGGTCCATGAAGGGCCTCCAATTCAAGGAAATGGTTAATCTAGAGGAAACCAGAGGTGGAGCGGTCTTCACATATGCGCAACTCAGATTAGTTCTATTTGGATCCAGAGAGTGGAACTAGGAGTGATGGTAGAAATTTTCTGTTTTCTTTGCCTTTTTTATTCCTAGATTTGGTTTCTGGGGGGAGGAGGGAAAAAGTATGAACCCTGTTCCACATTCCACAGCTTTGAATATTTGAAGTCAAGTACCACACCATATAACCATACAGGTCTTTCTCTACTCCAAGTTGAATACCCTCAATTCCTCTAATTGATCTTATAGGGCATGGTCTCTTTTCCTGTCACCATCCTCTTCATACTATTCTGGCCTCTGTCCAGCTCATCAACGTCTTTATTGATCACAGTGCTGTTCTTCTTCCCCTTCAAAAGAAATTAAATTTGAGTTGCTACACTATTTCTATAAAAGGTAGAATAGCAGTCTATGAATTCTTAGAAGTTACTGTGAGGCTGTAAACTTTTTTCTTCTACATGCAATCTGCTAAAGACCACAGAAAATGTTAAAAGTTTCTCATGTGATTTCTAACACTTTAAAAAATAAGACAAGGTATTAAGCTATATTGTTGCTTAGAAGATGTGTCCATTTTCACATCCATGAATATACACAATAGCGTATGAATGCAAGGCCTAAAAAAAAATGAATATAGGTCTAAAAAAGAAAAAAAAACTCTATAGTCCTTGAGGAAGGATATTTAAGTGTATTTACTTCAAGTGAACATTTGTATTATTTTATTTATCTAAGAAGTTTCAAGGACCATGGAATAAGGAATGGCATTAGTGAAAAAGATCAGACAATACAGTTTAAGTACGCTGAAGAAAATTTTGTGATCCCAATGGGTTTTTTTTTTTGCTTTTGAATCTTTATATTTTAAGCATTTTTGGTGGTGAGAAATATACTGTCTCACACCTGATACTCATATTATACAATGAGTGTTCTATAAGGAACTCTGTTACACACTTTCTGGGGAGACCTTAGAAATAAGCCACATTTAAGCTTTGTTTTAAAGATTTTCTTGGAGTTACCTTGGGGGAGGGGCAACACACCACAGAAAAACCTTGAACCCTCCCTTTTAAGGGTCAACCCTCCTCTCAGCTATAAACTTGGTTTATGTGAATCCAGAGCTTGTGATAAGGGTCACAGTTACATTTATTTTGTGTATATAACCATATATGTACTTGTCTCCCTGACAGAATGTAAACTTCTTGAGGGCAGAAATGGTTTTCACTTTTGTCTTTGTATCTCTAGTGCCTAAGCATATCAAGGATGCTTAATAAATCCTTGTTGATTGATTTGAAACCTAACATGCAATGTTTTAAAAGTCTGCTGAAATTAGTTCTACGAGAACAAATTAATATCTGGTCAAATGTGCAAAGACAACAGAATAACACTAAATACTCTTCCATGGGGTTAAACTAATTTTTTATATAACTTCCATAATCAGGTACAATGTTATACTTTACAGAACCCACAGTTGTAGAAGATTGACAACAGTTGATTTGGAGAATCCAGCCTTTCCATAAGAAATGTGGAAGTAGTGTTTCCTCTCACTCCCACTAGTGCTGAAACATTTGTTTTTACTAGTGTAGTCAACTATGTTAATGGCTTATCTATAGACTTATTTCCCTGACACCCCCACCCCCCCAGATCCCAAGCTGCCAATCACAACTGAGCTAAAAGTGGGACTGATTTTGGATTATTTATTTTTGGGTATAATTTGCATCTTTTTTCCTTCATTAGAGCAGACAAATAAAATAGACTGTATTCTCCAATTGAACAGTTAATTTCAAAATTATTCTCAAAAGCAACTATCTGTAAAAAGGCCAATTCATTTTCCCCCCCTAGTTGAAATGCATGGCTAGAAGCAGCTGCCCTTATGCAAATTAGCCTTCTACTGAACAAAGTTTTAAGAATAGATAAAATACTATGGCAGTTCAGGATTATAAATTCATAAGAACTTCCTTAGAGTGAAAATCTGTGACATGTCTGGATAGTATAAATGTATTAAAACTGCTCTGGCACCTGTTCAATTTTTCAAAAAACTCTTGTAACTTTCCACCATATAATGAACAGCCTAAATAATTGCACCACAGTGTAGAAAGACTAAGTGACAACTGCCATTATTATTAAAAAGTCTTTATATGATAGTGGCATAAAAGGACCAAAGATTCTAGAAGCTTAAGAGAGTTAAGATTTCATATTTCATAAATCGAAACAGTATTTAATTGCATCTATTCACTTAGCTAAAGGATGCTAATAATGTGCACTATTTGCTTGAGACTATGCATAAAACAAGGCTTTTTGTACTAGCAACAAACTATAAAGAGCTAAATACCAGCAGTGATATAGTGGAAAGACTATATGCATAAGACACCTGATTTGGAGTCAAGGAGACCTGGGATGAAATCCTTGTTTTGACAGTTACTAGCTATATTTTCATGGGCAAGTGACAATGTTTCTGAGCCTGTCATCTCATCTGTAAAATGGGAAAAATACTTGCAGTACCCACTTCATAGGACTATTGTATGGAAAACACTTTGTAAATATTAAATTGCAAAATAAATATGAGTTCTTATTATTAGGGATGTATTTTTAGGCACACCAGTTTTGCCACAGAATGATAGGGGAAGACCTAGGCTGACAGAGGCAGGAGATACACTTGGGATGGAATTACGAGATGACATAAAGTGGCCCTTTACCTTTCTTTCCTCTCCTTAATTTATAATGGGGCAAGAAGAAGCATATTGAACTTGATGCATCTAACAGCCCTGAAGCTAACGCTTCCATAGAGTCTTTATTGCTTACAACAGAAAGTGAGCAGGTCTTGTTCTAAGTCTTAGTGGAATATTTATAGCTATTTCACCAGGGTACTGATTAGAATCATATAATTCTAAAGTTGTAAGAGATTTTAGAAATTTGTGATCTGGCATCTCGATTATGCAGATGAGGAACCAGACCCAAAGAGATTTGCCCATAACCACACAGCTTCTTTCTCAGACCACTATTAGGTGTAGTGATGTAGCATCAACAGACAATCTAGACATCTACTTTAAGTAAAAGTTCACATTAACCTGGTGACACACAGTGAAACATATGACAATTAACATGAAATCATTATGCTTTGTTCTCTATTTTCAAGAGCTGGCTAAAATGAAATTATGACAGATAACTTCAGGCCATTTCCCACAAGAATTACTGCCAAATATAAAATCTTCAGGCTAGATCAGTATGTGTAAGTGTCTGTGAATGCAATCAAAGTAATTTCTACCCTCTTTCAGGTAAAACTACTTTGTGCCACTTTGGAACTGAAAAGCCTATACTTGCAATTAAAAAAAACCAAACCCTCACAAGATCTAATTTTTTAAAAGCTAAACTGTTGACATTATAAATATAAAAGTTGTTCCTCAGCATCCATTCTTAAAATGCTAAAATGGGGAAGGAAGGGGGATATTAATTGTTTTAGAGCCAACTTGTTAGCACAGAACATAAATTCCATTTTGGGTTGATAAGTAAGTGGATATTTTTGCATGCCAAAACACTTGTGGAAAATGGTAATAGATTTTCAAAATCATGTGTAATTTGAAAAAGATGTGGTATAATAAAAAAGGGATACTTTTATACACAGGATTTTATTTTGCACTGCTAAAACAATTTCATTGTAGGTCAGGGAAAAGAAAAGAAAAAAAGATAAAACCACATTTAGCAAATTACCACCAAAGCTTTTCCACTTTTGTGTTTTTTTCTTTTTTAATCAGGATTTTTCATCTGGTAGATTTATTTTTCATATCCCCTTTGAAAACAGACAAGATGCTTACCATATACCAAAGATTATAGGCTGCCACTAAACGAAAAACTTTACACATTCACTGTACATCTAAGCTGGAAAACTGTCCTGCATGAAAAATATACTTAGAAATCATGTCAATAAATGAAAAACACACAAAACATTATTATATTTAAGAAAAAGATTAAAGTCCTCATAATGTGTCATTGAATCTGGATATTAATTCTTTGTGGTGCTATTTTGACACATATTAATTCCTCTTGTATTTATGTACGCATACTGTGATTTTATCTACAGTATTCATTAAGGCAAACAACTAATGCATTTCTGAAGAGGTGTTATGGAAATTGTGTTCAAACAGCAAACATTTGGCATTAAAATAGGTTAACACATATATAGCTTCTAGCAATATACATCAAGCATTCTTCTTGGACTTGGATAGTAACAAGAAAAAGATGAACATGCTAACAATGTCAAAAAGGTTTAAAATTCAGTGTCCAAGCAACTCCTAACAATGTTTCTGTAGTCATTGTCTTCAAGCTCTAAACAGTATAGAATTTATGCAAATGCATTAAAGAATTCTAGCTTGGCAAATATACCCAAGCAGGTTATTAAACTATATATACAGAAAGTAAATGATAAATACAGAATTAAAAGAGACGTTCTGTTTTTCTTTATAGCCTTGAAAATTGACAACTTTTTGAGGACAGTTCTATAATATCAGACATTAGGTAACCAGAGGTGCTTGGGAAACCTAACTACACAAACTGATTTAAAATACTCCAATGACTTTTGTAGTGTTTAATACAATTCAGTTTGTGGTCAAGGGCACAAGACAACATTTAACAAAAATAATCACATCAAGTGAACTAGAAATCAAATGCAAATATATATGAATACAATCTCCAAAATCTGTCTTTTAAAAGAACATTAACCATTTATTCAAAGTTATACAAGAATTTGAAGGAAAGTCTTCTTTGACATAAAAGCCATTTCACAATAGTTTCATGTCTCAGCTGAGCAGTGGGAGATAGGGTGAAAGAACAAGTTAGTAGGCCCCATTCAGGCAGCTAGAAAGTAAAAGTAGGCTCAACAGCAGCCTCCACCAGCTTGTTGTCCTCCCTGACTGCCAGCGTGTGTTGCATTAGTAGCGGCATGCTGGGGGCCGATTTTAATGCCATTTGCCTGAAATAATTAAAAGGGGAAAACAGTGAATTTCACCTCAGAAAAAACACATCTGTGATACTTAAAGTGATGTTTGAGAGCAAGTCTTTTCTTAAATTCATCTGACTTGCCACATTACGAAGTTTAGCAAGTACTCATACTGAACAGTGCCTAGTCATAATCAGAAATGTTGATAACAAGGACCTTTTCCTCTGAAAAACAAAACATCATGGCATTTTATCTAAAAACACCTGCTAACCAGAACAGGCACAGGGTAAATAGCTGCTGAAACTGTGGGGTATTTTATGAGTTTTTGGTGATATAAAATCTTTTAAACATAATTTTATTTCAAATACATTTCAAAAAGAAAAAATACTCAGCCCATGCTGCTACAATATAATATAACACGTTTCCTTTCTCTAAAGCATTTCTGTTGCATGTTGAATCAGCTGTACAGGCTAAGGGCATACGAGTGTTCTGTGTCATCAATAATTTCTATGATCTCCAAAGATGTGGCAACTGGCCAAGAACCCACACATGGCGGATTTCTTTCATTCATCAAACTCACACTTATATCTTAACCCACACTCCCTCAAGTGGATTTTACCTAAAAATACAGCACTTTGAGAAAAGTAATACAGTAGCTTCAGAAATTAAGCTCTTAAGGAAACTTTGCGTCACAGTAAATCTCAGATTTATAGTGCTTGGCAGTTGTTCTGCAACACTAGTAGCCTTGGGGTTTCTGGCACTAGCTCAGTATTGACAGCAGCTGATGTGGTTTCTTTTCGCTCTTTTGACTCCTCTTTAATAAAAAGCATGCCCTATGGCTCATTGGTTTTGCCCCCTCTGGGCTGGTAGCAACTTCTTGAGGAATCAAGGAGCCAGACTTGGCATTAAGCCAAATAAATAGCACAGACTGTTGGCTCTTGACAGCATATTGCAATCAAAGCTCCATAAGGCACAGTAAAGCAGTCAGCTACTATATGAAACTAGACAGAAACAATGAAGGGGCCTTTTTAAATAGAGGCCTCAATTACTGTTCAATTTATATGGCATCAGTCTCTGAAGGCATCTCCTTTAAACTAACAAGTCCTATGGTCACATTAATAAATAAAAAAGGACATCATTTTTAAAACCATAAAGATTTATGACCATGAACACGCATAAAATATAAAGAATTTACTTTATTCTTTAGGAAAAAAGTATATAACATTATTGTCTACACATGAGTATTGTTGAAATAATTAAAGCCTCATTTATGCTTAGGCCAAGGGGAACAAACAGTTATAGTTTTACAGTAACCTCCCTATACAGTGTTTTCCTAACTTTTAAAATTGCTGGAAAAACCTTTCTTTTTCTTCCTCTAACCATGCAAGCATGAAGACAGTGAACAAAAAGTCAAAAAGTTTCTGCAGAAGAAAAGGTTTATGTAATATGAATACAAGACCATTCAACAAATAATTAACAGTGACTACTATGTGCAAGACACTGTGCTAGGCACTCAAGGGGTCCAGAGGTAATTAAACGATCCAATCCCTCTTGCATGGAACTCATTCTGGTAGAGGCTACATGAGAGATCCCTTGTAAAAATTCTAAAATGTATCATATGATCAGTGCACAATGAGGCTTATCTCCTTAGGTTAAATTACAACCTCCTGCAAAAACTTTTAATTGTATGCTTTATAATTACAAATTTTAGACTAAAATCAGCCCAAGATAATTTTATTTACACTCACAACAGTATGCAATAATTCAGCCCCCTGAAAACCTGATGCGTTTTATTTGGTGTAATTTCCAAAGTGCACTGGATAGCTCAGAAAGCAGTACATCTGTTATCAGCAACATGGCCTCTCTTCACCTATATACTGGAAAATTATTTCTGAAAGCAGATGACACCATATGGACAAGTGGATGAAAATGGATTTTCTTTCCTCTTTGGGGGATTTATATTATTTTGTGTTGTTGCATGGATGGATAGGGTCACTTACTTTAATCCATTTTCATTGCAACTTTTAGTGATGCTCTACTCTAATGGCAGGCATAAACATGCAAATATCATTAGATATATCGAGTCTTTAGTTTGATTATGAAAACCTTGTGTCATGTAGGCTTTCAATAAATTTTATATAATGTTAAAGATTTTTGTTATGAAATTCGTGCATTCTAGAATTGTTTCATACTGTTTGTTTTTTATCTTGAAACTAAATATTAGACAACGAAAGAAATTACCTCATTATTAATGTCAAAAACTCCTTCTTGGATTTTTTCGTAAATTTCTTTTGCTGTATTAATAAACGCCTAAAATTTAAAAAAAAGGGTAAGATTAAATTCTTTGAAAAAATAAACACCTATAGTTTATTATGAAAAGATAAAAATAAGTTACAAATACAGAAACAATACCTGAGCAAAGGGAGTAGACCATTTAACCTATGTGAACAATATCATCTCTTGCAGCATCAATTGTAATTTCTAAAGTAGATAACAACTTTACTCAATAAGATCATTTAAAAAAAAACCTGTCTTCCACTAGGAATACAGTAATATTCATTCAGCTTTACATGATAGGCCCACAGCAGGCTCAAGAAAACAAGATAACACTATTCAAATTTTATACTACTTTGAAAAAAGTTTTAACATTTTCTCCCACAATATGATTAAGTTGTATTTTCAACTAATAAACACTAAAATTAATCCAGAACAAGCACTGTACCAGATGACATTTAAATAGAAATTAGTTACAAGTTAAAAAGAATAAAAACGAAGTATGTAAACTCAATAACAGCCAGAGGACATTGTATCTGACGAAGTGACAAACCGTAGTTAATACTATCAATAATGCATATTGAATTCCTTCAACTTGAAGTTTATGAAAATTCATGCAAGGATTCTATCCCCTCAGCAGAAGCCCACTAATACTGATATAGATCTAACTCAAATACAAAAAAGTAAACGGGATTCATGGAGAGGAACAAATCATATCCCTCGTCATTTCTACACTAGAAACATTTGACTGCTGAACTTGCCACCAGAGCTTCATTTCCTAATTAACAGGACTGATATGTTTTCACCTTTAAAGGCCTTACAGCTCCCCAGAGTAATCAATCTACTGCAGCTCAATTACTGCACCAAGCACACACCACAGCCAGGGAAGGAGACTTGAACAACTGTGGCAGGAATAGAGAGAGATGAATATGCATAAACTCTAAGTGGGTGATCGAATCATCACAGAGGGTCATGAGAATTTGCGGCAAAATAATGAGAAGAATTAATCATTGCAGATTCACAAGGCTCTTAGGAAGTGAGTCCTTTTCAAATGTGTGCTGGAGTTGCAAGAAAAAATTGGCTTTTATCCAACTCTGAATTGATTCACATTCCTCAAAATCAAAGTTTTACCATATAAAAAGGGGTAAAAACACCCTTATCTTTATTTCCAATAACATTTCAATTATTATGATAGTCTTATAAACCTGACTAATTAAAAACTACAGTCAAAAGCTTTAAAAATTCACAAAGCTAGAATTCCTAGGGGGGAACTAACTTTTTCATATTTAACTAAAACGTAAGAACCACAAAGACTTGGAAATGTGTTATAACTTCACATTAAACACAAATTTACACTTTAGCCGACATTGTTAAATGTGTCAAATTATGTAAATAAATTGCCCTCTTGCTAAGTTAGATGAATCTATTTGAAATTAAAATAGTGAAACTGAATCTAGAGAATTGTGCTATTTAAAATTTCATGAGTCCCTAATAAATTTATTATAGTTAGCCTATAAGATTTCATTTGGTAACAACTTTGAAGTGCCCCTATAACTAATGGACTAAAGATGTGTGTATTTTATAGCCAGAAGATGTAGAACACTCATTGTACAGGACTGCTTTCATTACAATAGTTATTCTAGATGGTTTTTTTTTTAAAGCTGCTATAACCTCAAACAACTTTTAGAAAAAGGAAAATTGATGTATCAAGCCACTAGTTTGCAAGGCCTTAGCTGGGTAATCTTGACAATTACAATGAGAAAGCAAAAGAACTGTTCCCAATCCCAATCCTAACTTCACAGAAAAATGTTACATTCATGAAAATGGTGAAATTATTCAGCCATAAAATTCAACACCTCAAATGTAAAACATATCTGTTTAATAGGTAACACTTATGTAGCACTTTACCTTCTACAAAATACTTTACATATTATCTCATCTGAATTTGACAGTGATCCTGTAAAGTAGGTAGTATAATTATCATTACTCATGCTTTGTAGCTTAAGAAACTAAAGCTCATTGAAGGTAAATGACTTGCTATACAGGTCAAGCAGCGTACTGAAACGGGAAGAGGGGTTCAAACCCAAGCTTGTTGATTCAGAATCCAATGTTCTTTCCACTACACAACAGCTATATCCTCTATATACTGAATAATGGTGTCTGTTTGCGATGTCATATTCTTTGAAGACTCATAAAGAAATTAAGTATTTTTAGAACTCTAGAAGTATTATTTATCGATTTGAAGTGAATTATGGCTTCAAACTGAACCGCACACACTTTGAGAACAAAGGTGACATTTAACAAACTGTTAATATTTAGCAAAATTAATTTGACTTACATAGCTGAATCATACTTCTAAAAATATTTTACTTAGCCTTGGAAAATGATTATTTGTGTCTGAATTTCACAAAATACTGACTTTTTTGAGGACAGGGCATATCCTATGGAGCTTATTTACAAAAATAGTTGGAGGACAAGAAATAAACTGGTAGTAACATGTTCCAAATAGTAAAGATAAATTAATACAATCATATCAAACTGAAAACTCTTACCACTATTTAAAATAAGCAGGAATCTAAATGGAGTTTCAATTGTTATTACCTTGCCCAAAAAATCTTATTTCTTAACAACTACAGTAACATTTTACTTATCCACATTTTTACCACAGTAAAAATCTACATTTCATCTACATTATTACAACAGTACATTTATATAACTTCAACTACTTGGAATATACCCGAGAACCAAGAAACAAAAGCCTTTGGGAAATCAAGGTAGAAGTTAAAAGCTCACACACTTAACAGAAGAAACTCTCAGAGTTTACTCACAAGCACAGGCTATATTTTGCCTTTCTTTGTATTCCCACTGCTTAGCACAGTGCCTGATATATATGGAAGGCACATAAATAAATGTTTATTGACTCACTTTAGACATGATTTTTAAAAAGATTACTTATTTGACTTCCTAAATTACAAAAGACTCAAAGCAGGTGATGGTGATGAAGAGGAGCTTCAAAGGGCGAGTTAACTGATACAAGCTACAATGAGAGTGAGAATAGACACAGGATGAGAACTCAAAACCAAACCAGAATACAAAAGCCCAGCAGTATGGTACAATTCCTTACTAGCCTCACTGTGTCAGAACACTTCACAGTGATGGCTCAGCAATCAAAAAAGGTGAAATTAAATTTGGTTAAGAAACCAGAGAAGTATTCAAAATGTAGTTAGAAATATATTTACTAAAATGGTTAAATGAAATAAAGATGGCATTGACACCTGACTCCTACTACTTGGGGTACCCTTGGACAGGTTATTCAACCCCTCTAGGTCTCAGTTTCCTTATCTGGAAAAGGAAGGGTTGGACTAGCAGACTTAAGCTCCTTTCCAGCCCTAAATCTATGATCACAAAATCTGTGTGAATTTTTAAGTATTACCCAGTCCAATCCTATAAAAAATTGATTTAGGTATAAAATCTTTAATGAAAGCATCATAGTAACCATTAAGAATTACAAAACTGAAAATGGACTTTCATGGGAAGATAAAATACTTAACAATTCAAACTAACAGTTCACTTTTCAAAAAAAGCCAACTTTGTCCTAGAGAGTTGCCTAGAACACTACAAGGTTAAGCGAGTTGCCTGGAGTCACACAAACAGTAAATATAAGAAGAGGAATTTGAACTCAGGTCTTTCTGACCTTGAGGCTGGCTCTTATCATGTTGTTTCTTTTTATATCTCTAATTGATTTTAGAGTCATCACTGAACCAACAATTTCTGCAAGGATGATATAAATTAATTACAATGAAACTTTTGCTTCCATTGATTCTATATCAACATTTTTTCTTCTTCAATACTAAAAACATGAAGGTAAAAAATAATAGCCATCACTAGGCCACCTTGATTAAATTCCAGGTTCTTTTCTTCTAGCCCATTAATCCTCTTGCCAATTTGCTGCTTTTTCAATTCCTGGGAACAATACCTGGGTGATACCAATAATACAGAAACTTTATCTGACTTTTGCCTTGTGCATTTATCATTCTTACTTTTAAATATTTTTACCACAACAGTTTTATAGGTATGTATTTTTTTTAAAAACGAGGCAAGAAAACTCAGTACTTACTCTTGTTGAACTAACAATCTGGCTAAGGAAAACAGACAGACACACACACACACACACACACACACACACACACACACGATGATAACAGATCCCAGACTAAACAAGCATAGTAAGTGAATTTTCACTCAAAGCCTGCAAGTCAAGGTTGAGGTAGTTACCATAAGAAATCAAGGTAATAAGCTACCTTAAATAGGTTAAAAAAAAGAGAGAGAGAAGGTAAAGCAGAAATACACGATACTGTGGGGGTGAGATAGACAAGAACAGTTAGAATAAAAAAAGTACAAAAATATTGAAATGACTTCCCCATTACAACAGTAATATTTGAATTTTGTCTTTATGTAACATACTGCCATCTGGTGGCTATAATGATTACTAAAGCTCATTTGGAGTTGCCTACTACAATATTTCACTTAGCTTAAACATTTCTTAATAAATAACAAAGAGATGATGTCCTCTGAAATAAGACAAGGACGTATATATTTTTCAAGGCTCAGATAAAAGGCTGAGAGATAATGGATAGGGTGCAGTTTCATATTCCTCCCAAATTCTTCTAAACACAAAGATATAACCAAGGTATTCATCGACAGATTTCATCTTTCCTGTTATCCTTCTGCTTTCCTTGTCATGCATTACGTAGAAATATTAATGATCAGTTGCTTGACAAGAGGAGGAAAGAAGTGAAGGAAACCTGCCAATCCCAATCATTTTTAGCAGTTCTAGTAAAATAAGAAATTAATTACTAGCTAAATAAAGTGTACTATAAAATTTAAACTGTTTGTAATTGATGAGTGTTATAGGGCTATACTTTCAACTGACATTGTTATAGTCCCCAGCCCTGCTTTTACAACATTCCAGGCCATGTCCAATTACCGATTTCCATTTTCATAAAATGCCATTACCATAAAAGAAAACAAAAGCT